AGGGATGGGAGCTGAAGCTCGACGAGAATCCAATGTTTACGTTCCAAAACAGGGATAAACACCTGCAATCATAAGTAATAATTCATTTATTTGCGCACTTATTTCATAAAACCTTTAAACTCAATCTAAAATAAATACTAACCTTATCGACCTCCCACCATGCAGGATAAAGTTTAGCTTGTCCATTGCCCAAATCAAATGATTCATCTCGTGCATTCTTCAAGTGAACGGCGTGAAAAGACGTCGGCATAATTGTATATCGTATATTTTTATTTTTCTTAAGTTTTCTTATTATTAGAAGACGTGTCACCCACGCATCGATATGCTGTTTTACAAAAAAGACATATATAGTGACTTACATAAATTAAAAAAAAAATTAATCAAATTGAAATATAAGAAAAATATAAGACTTACCCCCCCATCGAAATAGCCATTGTCTTCGACCCCTAATAATACGCCCCACCAAGACCGATCAAGCAACAAATAGATATCATCGGTGAGCTTGCATATGTCAGTGAAACACCCCTGGCTCCGCTCATGTAGATAAAAATCAACTGCGGTCTTAGCCCAAAGGGTGTTATCAAGAATTGTGTCCGGTAGTTGTTCCCTCTCCTCTTCAGATACCGGTATGGTACTGGCCGGTAACTCATACGAGAGCCAACTTGAATCCATCATGTCCGACACGTCAGAGGGTTTCTCAAGAAGCCTACATATGACGCCATGTGAATCGGGCTCTTGAATGGTGGGAGGGACCTCTTCAATGATGACAGTGGCCTCTTGAACGGTGGGAGGGGACTCTCGAGGAATGATAGGGGGGTCTCTTCAACGATAGGAGTGGACTCTTGAGGGATGACAGGCGAGTCGGGCTTCTTCTTGCGGTGTCTTCGTACTATTGGGGTGTACGGAGACTTAATAGCACGTGCACGCTGTCTGATGCGTGAACTCCGTCGTGCAAGCATAACCCGACGTAAAGCATCCACTCTATCGGGCCGCTAAATAATTAAATACAAAAATCAGTAAATAAACAGACATGATATTTAAACAGTGACAACAAAGACAAATATGTTTCAAACTTGCATTGTATTCACCCAAGTCATTATTCTATCATAGTTCACAAAATGCATCAGATAACAAAGAAAAATATGTTTCAAACTAATACCCTGAAGTTAGTATTTGTCTTTGTTTTGTCTATTGGTTGAAGTAATGCAATCCATTCAAGTTTCAATTTGCAGAAGAGGAAATAGTTTACTTTCGCAACATGAAACTTAAAATCGCAACGCGAAATGATAATCGCAACGAGAAACCAAAATCGCAATGCGAAACCAAAATCGCAACGCGAAATGAAAATCGCAACGACAGAATCGCAATGCGAAATGAAAATCGCAACGAAAGAATCGCAACGCGAAATGAAAATCGCAATGCGATTTTGGTTTCGCGTTGCGATTTTGGTTTCGCGTTGCGATTCTTTTGTTGCGATTTTTATTTCGCGTTGCGATTTTGGTTTCGCGTTGCGATTTTAAGTTTCGTGTTGCGAAAGTAAACTATTTCTTCTGCAAATTGAAACTTGAATGGATTGCATTACTTCAACCAAAAGACAAAACAAAGACAAATACTATTTCACAGTGTTAAGAATACACAGTTTAGCAGAATTGGCAGCAACCGAACAAATTTACTTTCAACCAAAAGACAAAACAAAGACAAATACTATTTCACAGTGTTAAAGAATACACAGTTTAGCAGAATTGGCAGCAACCGAACAAATTTACTTTCAACCAAAAGACAAAACAAAGACAAATACTATTTCACAGTGTTAAAGAATACACAGTTTAGCAGAATTGGCAGCAACCGAATAAATTTACTAAGCAATCTAAGTGAAATGGCTAATCTAAGTGAAATTACGAGTAAATTTATCATTAAGTTAAATATGGAAAATCTTAAACTTACCTCGTTGCGTAGAGTATGAACCTCATTCTGCAACAATACTATCATCTCACGTAGAGCGGCAACCTCACCACGTAAAGTTGACACCTCCACACGCCATGCACCATCGTTATCGCGTAGAGTACCGATCTCCTCACGCAAGGCATTGACCTCATCACGTAACTCCCTTGACTCATCCCGTGGAGGTGGAGGTGGAGAACAGGGAGATAAGAGTCGTGGCATCTTTGCCGGTCGCCTATCATGAGGTGATGGTGGAGAAGAGGCTCGATGATGTGACGGGATATGTGATGGCTCTCGTTCTAGAGGTGTATAGTCGGGTCGATCGGGTGATGGCTCTAGGTGAGGTGATGGCTCTCGAATTGGAGGAAGTGGATGCTGCTCATCATCCGTGCCATCAAAAAAACTCTGACTAGCTTGCCACCAATCAGTGGCAAGCTCTTCCTCCGTGGGTGTCAGTCTTTGTAATGGAATGTTGGCCTCCTAAAATATAAAAACTCAAACAAAGTTAAACGTCTACTATTAATAACTTGTTTATATATTATATGAAAGTATTTGTGTTAACTTACATTATTTATTGTCGCATATGGTATTAAGTCTTCCCAATCCAACAGAGTTTTCCTCTTCCAGGAAATAGCCCTGGGAATATCATTTGACGTTTTTATTGCATATGTACGCATGCTGGGGAAAGCCTCGAATATCCAAATCTACAAACAATATAATAACAAAATTAGTAATTGTTAAATAATTAATTATAATTTTGAAAACATTATATAGAAATTCTTACCTTAAAGGCCCAAACAAAGCCTGACAAAGTGTATTTCGACCATCGCCCCGCAAACTTTTGCGGTCATCAAAGGCAGACGACAACTTAGTCCAGGTAGCTTTCCATATATATGAACCCCAAGGAAACAGATTCCATGCATTCAGGTCCTCTACCAATATTATTAGCTCCCAAGGAATAGGTTGTCTGGCCTCTCTGCCTAAAAAGCCGGCATACACAAGTAGTAGAAGGCATACTCGGACAACATCGACGTCATCCATCCGAGTGAAACCAGCTTTCTTATTAAACAATTTCTTCAGGTCGTCGACGTATAGGTTCGGCTTCTCCATTGACTCATCCGGAAAAACCCGGGATAACCATGATGGGCGGGCGATATGACGAGTGTACCGGCCTACATCATCGTGTCTGAATCGTAGACCAGTGATTAAGCAGAACTCCTTCCGCCCAAAACAAGTATACGCTGGTGGAAAATGAAACCATATCTCTTCCTCACCACGTTGTATACTGTCGGGTAGATTTGATGTCATGGTCTGAAGCCACAAATGGGTCAAATTAGCATCTCCACCCGGATGCTGTACTCTCAGCCATGGCCCGAAGCAGGTTTCCTCAAACAATTGTCTTTGAGCAGGTGAAAGCTTCGAAGCAATTGTAGTGGCTAGGCTAACTTTATTCCTTAATGTCAATGAAGCCGAAAAAAATTTCTACAAAAACAATAAACATACCAAGTTAGATATACCAAAAACTACACTGTGAAGATATACCAAAAACAATAAACATAAAAAGTAGTAGTTTATTCTTGAAACTAAAATTTGCAACACTGTTTTGTCTTTTGGTTGAAATGAAAATCGCAACGAGAGAATGACTGTCGCAACGAGAGAAATGAAAATCGCAACGAGAGAATCGCAACGCGAAATGAAAATCGCAACGAGAGAATCGCAACGCGAAATGAAAATCGCAATGCGATTTTGGTTTCGCGTTGCGATTTTCATTTCGCGTTGCGATTCTCTCGTTGCGATTTTCATTTCTCTCGTTGCGACAGTCATTCTCTCGTTGCGATTTTCATTTATCTCGTTGCGACTCTTCTGCAAATTGAAACTTGAATGGATTGCATTACTTCAACCAAAAGACAGAACAAAGACAAAGACAAATACTAACTTGAAAATCGCAACGAGAGAATAGCAACGCGAAATGAAAATCGCAACGAGAGAATCGTAACGCGAAATGAAATCTAAGTGAAATGGTTAATCTATTATTGAAATGACCAGTAAACTTATCATCAGTTTCAATATGAAAAACCTACAATAATGCAAAAATTTCAAAATAAAAATAATTAAAAAAACTAACCCTCGGAGGTTGATTTTCCATTTCTGAATATTGTGAGGGATTTCTGACCGTGAATGGTTGTGAGGGATTTCGTCGGAGATGGGGACGGAAATCTTCGGAGATGGGGACGGATTTCGCCGTAGAGAGTGAGAGATGGAGATGGGACTGAGTTGTGATTTTAGGTTTTAGGTTATGAGTTGCGATTACGGGATTTTGTCTTAATATTCGTTTTTGTAATTTGAAAATAAAATACGCGTAGCGATTATAATGGCGCTTTAAATATCGCGTTGCGATTTACGGATACGCGTTGCGATTTTATGTATTATCGTTGCGATTTACGGATACGCATTGCGATATACGGATACGCATTGCGGTTTACGGATACGCGTTGCGATTTATGTGTTCGCGTTGCGATTTTCATATTCGCGTTGCGATTTATGTGTTCGCGTTGCGATTTTCATATTCGCGTTGCGATTCTGGAAAATCGCAATGCGAATTTGTACTATCGCATTGCGATTTTCAAGAATCGCGTTGCGATTTTGGAAACTGATTTGCGATTCTGGGGATCGCGTTGCGATTTTTATTTCGCGTTGCGATTTTGTTGGTCATTTTGGTAAATTCAAAAAAAGTTGGTTAAAATCGTATATTATAAGGCATTTTTGGTCACTGAGGCGATTTTCTCTATGTTTAAACATGTAAATTTTCATATATTGCTTATTAAAAGTAGTGCAGAATCCATATGGCGCAGACGAAGGATTTGGCAACTTGGATCTGATCCCGACGAGTTACCAAATCTACTGCAAAATCTGAGAACAAAATGCCGCAACACCCGAAACGCTTTAACATTTTCCCACCATGTGACCCTCTTCAAAGTCCCACTACTACTATAAAATATCACTCTCGTTTCCCCCTCTACTTCCCGTTTCCAAGTCTCCTTCTTCCTCGAATCAAAGCAATGGCTACCAAGTTGTTCTTGTTGATTGCCGTCTGTGTTCTCCCTGTTATCGTAAACGCAAACAGGCAACCTTTCCGAATCGTTGGCAAAGTTTACTGTGATGCCTGCCGTGCTGGTTTCGAGACGGTTAAATGCTCTTACATACCTGGTATGATTTTAAACCAATCTTTCACCATCGATTCCGTCTTGTTTTCTTCTTCAACTATTTTATCTCTCAGCAAAGCTTTTTGCTTTTAGGTGCGAGGGTCAAAATCGAGTGCAAAGATAGGAAAACTCTGAGCCTGAAATACAGCGACGAGGCGGAGGCGGACGCCACCGGAACATACAACATTTTGGTTGAAGATGACCACCAAGACCAAATATGCTACGTCACGCTTGTTAGCAGCCCTATTAAAAGCTGCGCAGTTCCGGACACTAGACGTAACAGGGCCACCGTTATTCTGACCCGTAGCAACGGTGCCGTTTCCAACATTCATTCTTCAAATGCAATGGGATTCCTCCAGGATACGCCGGCCGCTGGTTGCCAAGAACTGCTCCACAGTTTACAGCACGATGATGAATAAAATCATTTAATATTTGATCTTTTCGTATTTTAACCTCTCTTTCTCTTGATTTTAGTAAGCCATTATGAAGATGGTGTTGTTCATCGATCCATAATTCACCTGTCATTTTCATGATGATCGGTGCATATAATATCTTGTGCTAAAAAATCTATTACAATATCATATGATAGTATTAGATTTGTTGAGTTTTTTTTTTCAATAATAAAAGCAATGTTAAAATTTGCTTTTATTTATTTACTTATTTACGATTTGTGTCTCAACGGTTTCTTTCCTTTATCTTCTTACGATGATTCAATCTTAAACTCTCCGAAAGAAATGGCGCCAATATCTCATTCTATCAAACAGATAATATAAAATATTGATTTTAAATTATTTTTACCCTACAAATATTTAATGTGATAAAAGAAAAATAGTAGGAAAAAGATGCCATTAATCATAAACGCAAAGACCCAGAATTGTTTTCTTTACCGATCAACATTTTTTTGTTATGCTTTTTTTTGGCTAATTGATACCCAAGACTATTGGAAAATTGGACACTTGATTTTCTTGCAGTAATTTTTGTCGAGAAACCTGATGAATGAAAGCCAACTCGGGGAAGATCAAGGCCAATGCATCAACCGCCCCACCACCCCAATCGCGACCGTTACCTCTCCTGATGACTCCGTCAAGAATGACAAGAAAAAGAAGGTACAGTATTAATATACTTCTTAATTTTTTTTAAACAATCGATCGTAGTTTCTATATCTTATTTATTATTGTTTGGGGTAAAGTCCTTTATCCCAAAGATTTTTTCTTACAAGAGACGAGCTAGAGGTGGCTCATCGGATGAGGAATTTGTATCACCAGATTGTGGTGGACTTTCTCCGGGTATCAATCTCCATACTATTTGGAATGTATTTTTTTCTTTAATTATTTAAATCTTTTACGTGAATCATGTTTGGTAGAATTGGAGGAGAAGAAGAAGAAGAAAAAATTAGTGTGCACCATGATACTGATTTTCTTATCTACTCCCAGCAAGAGAGGAAGGTACTGGAGGGTTAATCGAAGGGCTGAATCTCTTGGATTTCGGGTTTCCCATGGCTTCAACGAAGACTGAACCTCGGGATTTCCGGTAGTCATATATACACATATACACTTTTTTTTTGAACCACCGGTGTCGGCGGTCTATATTTATATGTTACAGCAGAAGTGCATGAAATTTGCAGTATATTTGTTGCAACGTGGAATGTGGGTGGGAGGGCACCCAATATTGACATGAACCTTGAAGATTTCTTTCTAATGGAGGATTCTGCAGATATTTATGTCTGTGGGTATGATTGACAGTTTTCTTTAGTTTGATTTCTGCAAAAAAAAAGACAAGATTTTGGATTGTTTTTACTTAGAACATGGATATCCCAGGTTTCAAGAAATTGTTCCACTCAATGCCGGAAATGTTCTCGTAATCGAAGACAACGAGCCAGCAGCAAAATGGCTGGACCTTATGAACCAAGTACTTAACAAGCACGATTACGAATTCACGCAGCCATCACCGGACTGTAGCCAAAGTTTGAAACACTCCAATACCTTATTGAAGGAGTCAAAAACTTCCAACAGTCACTTCTTCTACAAACCGTCTCTCAAAGTCCTTAGTAAGAATTTCAGGGCGGAAAGTAGCCTTCTCAAGACCTGCAACTGTCCCATCGAATCCACACACGGCACAAAGCGAGGGCAAAGAAAGCTTAGGGATTTAGCCACCCAACTAGACCTCGGTCCCCTTCCCGCTCGTCGTGATGGCGCTGTTGATGATGAGTTGCTTCATCTTTCTAATATGCCCCAAAATTTTTCGACCGGACCCATGGGTTACCGGCTCGTAGCTAGCAAGCAGATGGTTGGGATTTTCCTATCTATATGGGCTCGAACCGAGTTAGTGCCATACATTGCTCACCTACGAGTTTCCTGTATAGGAACAGGAATATTAGGACGTCTTGGAAACAAGGTTAGTATATGAATCTTCCTTGAACTTGACCTCCTCCCTCACCTTAGAGGGTCACTTGTGTTTCATAAACAATGAGGATATTAAATTACCATATAATTTAGATATTTTCTCTATATTTTCTTCTAATAATCTGTTTTCACCCTTAACATAAAATCTTGTGTCTATTCTAATTGCAGGGATGTATTGCAGTAAGCATGACATTGCACCAGACCAGCTTTTGCTTCGTCTGCAGTCACTTAGCTTCGGGTGAGAAGGAAGGCGATGAGCTCAAGAGGAATGCTGATGTTAACGAGATACTCAGAAGTACACAGTTCCCCAAGATGTGCAAAGCTTCAAATTCTCGAGCACCAGAGAGAATCATCGAGCATGAGTATGTTTGCTTTCATAATTGTCATTTTTTTTACATTCTGTTGTGTGTTTTATTTAACAATTACAATAAATATTGCAGTCGAGTAATATGGCTTGGAGATCTGAATTATCGGGTAGCCTTGAGCTATGAGAAAACCAGGAGCCTGTTGGAGGATAATAATTGGGACGCCCTTCTCGAGAAAGATCAGGTAAATTCGTGGTTTATTATAAGGGATTATAAGAAAATATATGTTTAAAATTTTTCTTAGATTATTGATAATATACATACTTTATAGACGCTAATACTCGAATCTTACATACACTAAATACTATGTTTCTCATTGACCTGGCTATATAATATACTTCGTGTGCAGTTAAACATAGAGAGAGATGCGGGAAGAGTCTTCAACGGTTTCAAAGAGGGACGAATAGTCTTCGCTCCTACGTACAAGTATTCTCAAAATTCAGATTTGTACGCCGGCGAAACAGTTAAATCCAAGAGGAAACGCCGAACCCCTGCATGGTAATCATTTACTCTAAACAAAACATTGACATTGCGTCTAATTAATCCATTTCCGTATTGGAAACATTTCAGGTGCGATCGGATACTATGGCACGGTTACGGAATTGAGCAATTATCGTACGTTCGTGGTGAGACGAGATTCTCTGATCACCGGCCTGTTTCATCATTGTTTACTGTGAAGGTCGAGGTAACGAGGAAATCTGATAACAGATTCCGAAAAGGTTATTCATGCGCGATAAACAGATCGAGTTATGAAGATTCTATACCTAAACGACATAGTTTCTATGAGTTGTAACTCCACTTGTTTAATTCGTTTAGAGCATCAAATCATTATAAAGTAAATTTCACCTGCATTTATTTTCATGTGAATATGAAATCACATTTTTTTTTAATTCTTTTACCTTTAATGTGTAGTTTTTTTAAAATAGTTGATCTATGCCAATGAAGCTTTGGTCATGTTGACGAAAATTGTAGATTTCAATTTAGATTTTATTCTGGTTTAAGTTGTAGCATGTGTGTTATATTCAACACGATCCAATTGTCATTCTAGTCTGCTGACTGGGCTGATGTCCAGGTTTTGTGGCAGCTTATATATATATATATATATATGATAAACTATTTGAATGACCATGTAATTATGTGGTCGGTGTTAATATGACCACATAATTATTTTAGTGGTTTCAATCAAACACATGCTGTTAATATTTGACGGAAGTGCTAACATGACATTTAATAAAATTTGTATAATTATATATATATTATCCTCAGTACTTACATATTCTATCAATTTAGTCATAATTTTAATTAAATTATTTCTATCATTCTAGTCTGTTGACTTGAGCTGGTGTTAATATTTGACTGAAGTACTAACGTGACATCACTTGATTGGATGGTTAATTTTTTAAATTATATTAAAAGTATGACTAAATTGATATAATATGAAAGTACTGAGGACCAAATATTTAATTAAATCAATTTTATTAACTGTTACGTTAGCACTTCTGTTAAATATTAACGATATGTGGCTTGATTGAAATCACTTAAATAATTATGTGGTCATATTGAAAAAAATAAAAAAAATATAGCTAGGTGATTATTCAAGTAATTTAACTCTCTCTCTATATTTTGAACTCCAAAATTTATCTTAAGTTCAATTTAGTCTATATTTTTATTAATATTTTAAATGTAAAAGGATAAAAGGAAAAGGATAACTACGTAAATGAGTCTATAAATGAGATTATAAATGAGTTAATAAACGAGTTTGTTCATGAAAATAAACAAATTGAACACACTTTTGTTCATGTACATTCATTTATTAAATGAAAATATTTTTTTTTATGTTCGTTTATTTAACTTAATAAACAGACATTTCTCGATATTTTTTTCAAGTATGTATTTTTTATGGTATATTAATTCTCAATTTTTCTTGAGTTTGATTTTCTTTCTTTTATTTTATGTTGAGTTATATTTTTTTCTTTACAAATTTAAATTTTAAAATATTATCATACAGTTCAAAGTATTTAAATTGAATAAAAACTTTTATTTTTTAAATTAAAATTAAAATTGTTAAAAAATCTTCACGCCCATCTTTATATATGACCAATGTAATATAGGGGTTGTTTGTTTGGCTCTGAATAGAACTATTCAGCGCTGAATATTGAACCGTTCAGTATTCAGCGTGTTTGTTTCGCACCTCTGAATGGTTTAGCAAAACAGTGTTAAATGATTCAGTATCAAAGTACATATTGAATGATTCAGAGCTATTATCAAACAGCATGTCACATTTAGAGCTAATTCATACAAAGCCTCTGAATCATTCAGCGTTTAATCATTCTGAAAAAAACAAACAACTCCTAACTCTAATAAAATATATACATCTCTAAAGTTTCAAAGTCAAAACCTAATTAAGCTAGAACAATCATAGATCTCTTTTAGTTTTTATATTTAGTAGTCGAAAATATTTTCAGACTATTAAGATATTGAAAAAGTGTCATTCTTTATTATTTTCTTCGGTTCCACTGTATATTTGAACTTATGCAGTGGAATGTACGAGGAAAACAACACATAAACGAGGCAGTCTCCACTGTATCAGATTTCCCTCTCTTTTCCTACACAGTTTTTCCTTTTCTTATTCTTCTTTTCATTTTGCTTTCATAATCTTTGCAAAAACCTGCGAAATCTAACTATAGGGGGCAATCTATGCAAAATTCCTCTAATTTGCTTCAGGTTTATTTTTCTACAGTCTCAAACTTGGAATTTCAATTGGCTTTCTTCTTATCTTTCATCCATCAATGTGCTTGATTTTATTACGCTCCAACCATACTTTCTTCTGCATTTGCCTCCGCGTTATTCTATCGCCTCTCTGTTTGTCATGTTAAAAATTTCTCTCTTTCGCTTCTCGTTGTCGCTGATTTGTCTCAATCATCCTTAAAAAACATTTCAATTGGGTTCCTCGTTTTGTGTTGTAATCCTTCTGCATTGTGCTCGAGGCTATAAAACTACACCAACAAATGTTCATTAGAAAAATGGGTTTAATTTCATTAACTATGTCATTTTAGTAAAGGGGGAAAATGGGTTGTGGAAGCTCAAAAGCTGATAAAAATGAACCTTGCGTCTACGTAAAGAAAGGAGATTCGTAAAGCAAGCTATTGATTCGAGGTATGCTCTTGAGGCTGCACATGTTTCTTATATTCAATCTCTTAGAAACATTGGCGTAGCTTTAAGGATATTTGCTGAAGTTGATATTTGATATAGTCTTCTCTATCAACCTTAACCACCGAGCTTGATAAAACGCCTTCCCCTTCCGCCTACCCTTATCTCCATCTCATTTAGGAGCTGAGGTTTCTGACTCGCCGTTGAATAATGAGAGTCCCATTTTGCCGGCAACGGCGAATTTGAGTTATATGAAAGCAGGAAACAGTGCTGCTGTGACTTTTATGATTAATCCTAGTTTTGTGGAGGATGAGTCATTGGCAATGGCAATGCCCCCGCCCCCACCTCCTCCTTTTGAGTCAGGTTCTTCAAGGGATTTCTTTGATCCTGTTGATGACTGTGAGAGCTTTAGATTTGTGGGGAATAATGGAGTGGATATGGATTTTGAGGATTTGAGAGAGTTTAGGAGGAAAGAGATTGATCATGGCGTTTTGGATGAAAACAATGAATTGAACAAACGAACTTCTTGGCCAGAATCAGGGAGAAATGCTGTCAAAATATCCGATACTTGGTGAAGGGAAAGTAAGGAAACAATAAAACTTGTTGAGAAACCTCTCTTGCAATAAACTACGCTCATCCGCCTAAATAAACTTGACCTCAAATCAATGTCCCCTCTCTTGCAAAACGCACTAATCGTCAAATTCCAAACAATGACATCCCTTTTAAACATTCCATCAAACACATTCTTTGCTTCCTCCCCTCTCCCACTAGAAGTATACAGTTCCAAAATCCCAACTTGAGCCGAGCCAAAAATCTCGAACCCGGATCTAATAACTTCCTCATGAATGCATTCCCAGACTCTTACTTCACAAAGACTCGAACATGCCTTAAATAAAGGCGGAAAATGTGTACTCGTCGGGGAAAAATCAGTGTGTTTTCATTAAAGAAAACAAGGTAATAGCTTCTTCAAAGGTGCCATTAAGGGAGTAGCCTTTGATCATAGAGTTTAAGTAAAATGTTGGGATATGGGAAGGATTTGACGTAAGGATTTATGTTATGAGGTGAATCTATAATATTTTAGGGAAATAAACTTGTAAAGTTTTAAGAACAAAAATAAATTATCGATACAAAATATAAAAAATATACGATAATTTTTAAAAAAAAATAGAATATCTGAAAACTAAAAAGACAAGATTCATGTTGTCCACCGCCAGTGATACTCTTCTCCAATCACTACAACAAAATAGGTTTGTAGTGGCGTTTGAAAAGTAAACACCGCTAATTTTATATATATAGCGGTGTTTACATGTCAAATGGCACAAAATGGTACGCCTCTATAACCTCATTTTTGCGGTATTTTTAAAATAAACGCAGCAATAAATCATTGCATTAGTGGCTTTTTTAAATACAAACGCCACGAAATGGTAACATTAGCGGTGTTTTCCCAGAAACGTCGATATTGACTTGTCTTTTGTGGCTTTTTTTAGACAAACGCTGCAATAAATCAGTGCATTAGTGGCATTTTTAAATACAAAAGCCACAAAATGATAACATTAGCGACGTTTTCCCAGAAACACTACTATTTACTTGTCTTTTGTGGCGTTTTTAAACAAACGCCGCAATAGGTTAGTGAATTAGTGGTGTTTTTGTATACAAACGCCGCAAGTTTTGGATATTTTATTGTACCAAACCCTTTCGCACTATTTTATCTTTCTTTTTCCTCTTTACCTTCCTCAAAGGTTTCCTCGTTTACCCAAACCCAAGAAGCTGTGAAGACATTGTTCATTCTGTTTTTCGATAAGTTACCTTTTCCCCTTTGCCTTTCTTTTTTTTTCAAGATTTTTCTCCATGCAGAAAATAAGAAGCTGGTAATCTTTTCTGGTTTCTAGTTAGAACTTTCACACTTCCGGGTTTCTAAAATTAATTGCAAAAAAGGGAAAAATTAAAATTATTCATTACAGAGAGCAACGGGGAGGTATGCGTAGTCTGTCGGTTTTGAGTTTGCATCAATATTTGTTTTCCACATCTAAGAATTTGATGTCAATTTCTCAGGTTAAGGGTTTGGACGTTGATGCCCTCTATTTTTCTCACATTCAAGTAAACCAGAAACAAAATACGTATCGCGCATGCAATTAAATGTTAGAAATAATAAATAAAACTGATAATGTCAAAACATGGTCAAGACATGTTTGAATGCAGTGAAAGCTTTTCTTTTTCTTGTTTCCAAATTTGGACTCAATAATGTACAAAACTAAAAAATCTAAAGAAGGAAATAGGAAGAAATAGAAAACGTATAAAGTTAAATGTTGGAAAAAGTGGAAGTATAAAGTGAAGTATTTGTGTTAATATGTTGTTAGGACTGTAAACAATAGAGAAATAAAGGCACAGGTTGTTGAAAGTATTAAAATGGTTTTCAAGTTTGGTAACCAACTTTGAAAAAATGTTTTTCAAAGTTTGGTAAATGTTTCTTTGAAAATGGTTTTCAAAGTTTGGTAAATGTTTCTTTGAAAAATAGTTTTTCAAAGTTTGGTAGATGTTTGTTAAAAAATGATAATGGGATAATCATAATTAATCCCTAGGTTTTAGGGTATTTACAAGATTAAGTCCTTAAGTTTCAACTATAAATACCCTAGCTCATTTAGCTTCAAAACCATCCCAAAAATCATTTCTTTCTCCCAATACTAGAGAGTT